CCTTGTCACATGGGATACACCTGTGAAATATGAAGATTTTCCTGACCCAAATAAAATTTCAAGGTAAATTTTGTGCAGTAAAAATAAACTGTTGAAAAATTATGTCCGAAATTAAAGTTTTTTCAAAGTGGGTCATACTAAAAGGTCAACGTCATAAATACAATACATATGTGCTTACATGTATATCCATGGCAAGGTCTTGACACAATGAATACTAGTATGTAAGTGAAGTATGAAAACACTAGCAGCAAATGTTTAAAAGTTATGAACAAGGTTTAAGCTGAGTAACTTCTAGCGAAATAGAGTCAAACACCAACGTCAAGATCAAGAGGTCAAATTTGTTGGTACCCCCCTAAAAAGGTCTTGTCATGAGGAATACACATTTGAAATATGAGAGTCATAGCATTCAACCCATCAAAAATCATGGGCAATGTTAAGGTTTTTGTGGTCAGACAGACATACAGACAGAGCAAAAACTATATACCCCAAAATCTTCACACCTGAAGTGTAGACAATATCCCCCCTTATTGAAAAAAAATGTAAGAGTGTATAAAGTGTATTTTTTAGTATACCGTATAAGGTATTCTTTAAACGTGAGAAAAAGTAAAATCTGCTTGCATAGAACGACATATAGATGTGTTTGACGGGGAAATTATATAATTATATTTAAGATATTTAATTCACTTAGCTATTATTGCATCTTTAAATATATATTCACTATATTGTTTGACTCAGACGAAATCAAACACGATTGTAAATGTATCCAACCTGCAATACATCTGCAAATGGAAAATTATACAATATGGGTAATTCTTTTACAATACCACTGGAAAATAAAGAACACAAATAAAAATTATACAATTCAATTTGAAAATCATTGAATAAATTGAAATGGAACAAATGGGATATTATGGAATACAAATAAAAAAAAAATTCAATACAAATGAAAATTTTTCGATGCAAATAAAATTATACAAAATAAATGGAAAAGATCGAATATAGCATGGCATACAAACTCCACTCCACCATATCTGCAGTCAATGAATTACACGGTGCACAAATTGGAGGATAACATTCAATAAAGTTAAAAACTGTAACGGCCGGGGTACCATAGGGAAATTACTTAGTATTTTTTTTTTTACAACTAATGACAAAATATTTATGGATAATTTTCCAAAATAAGAATGAAATGAACATTGTATTTTTCTCGTTGACCAGATTTTTATTTTAAGATCACAATATATTTGAAACATTTTTAACATGAGAACTTTTAAAGAGGGCCTCTGAGGTAAGTAATATCTTGCCAGTTTGGCCGACAATAAGGAAGTTGGTTTCCAGATTTCAGGTCTGTTATTTAGATGTATATTATCCAAAAAAGTGTGTCTTAAGACACCGAAAGCCACTTTTTTTTTATTTGCTTGTTTGGACATTTAATTATATATGTTTTATTAGAGAAAATATTGTTACTGAATAAAAATATTTACCGAGAAAAATTCTTTTTAAAAAATGCCTATGATTATTTAAAAAAAAATAGACTAATATTAATTCCGTGCTTTTTGTGAAAGCCATCATTGCAAAATCCATATAATATATGTTTTTCAATGAAGGGCAAGATGGACTTCGATAGCCTCTGGAAAGTTGTTTTTGTCCAAATGTTGATATCGAAAGTACATTGCAAATGGCGGATTTTAAAGGGGTCTTGTCTTTATTATGTTTTCAATAACAGCCTTTCAGAGACCACTTGCGTCCAAACTTGCCCTTCATTGATATTAAACATATATTATTACTGCAATTATGGATGTCACTAAAATTACAGAATTAAGCAGGTGCATTTTTCTTAAACTAACTTAACTGCCCTAAGTGAAGAATGATTAATATAGAAAGCACAAGGATATTCCCTTCTATAAGGATTACCCACTTTCACATGACTGTGTTAGAATGAATTGTGAGAATCCCTTGTATTCAAAGCAACATTTTAAATTCAAAACGGCTAAATACCGGTAAAGTTGGCGCTTCTCCAGGAAGTCATGTTGAATTAAGTGAAAAACATGCAAATTAAGCTCATGATATGAAACTAATAAAAAGACTTGTTTGTTTGTTGCTTAACATCCCTCTCGAGAATTTTTCTCTCATATGAAGACGCCACAATTTGCCGTAAAAGGCTGCAAATTTAGACGGCGATACTCTGCACTCAGGGCCATTGAATAATGAAGGACCTGTCCTGTTCTAAATTTTTAAATTACCGGGTGGGAGTAAATAAATTTCATATTTACTCCCAACCGGTAAATTCAAAATTTAGAACATGACAGACCTTTCTCATGCCAGCACCTACTGACTCATCCGAGGGACCGGTCTCCACCTTGAGCAAACGCTTTAACTGTAACTGTGCCAAGCGGGCGATCTAGTAGAAAGTAAATCATCCCACGAAATATCATTACAATGATTAGTTAACCTTGGTTCTGGACGGGTTTGCATGGTTTCAGCAACCAATGCCGATGGCTGTTTACATCATTGTTATCAAAGCAGGTGCGACTGGTAATAATTTCTTTGAGTTGTTTTGACATATTTATAATTAAAGTTATAAGACTTCTGTAAAAAAGGGGGATATTACCTGGACAGAACCAAAGGTTCATTAGTCATTGTTTATACAGTTTTATTATACCTCTACTGATTTTTCCCTATGTAAAAGTAAGGCTGTAAAATGTGAATAATTCCCTAGAAATCTCAGTGAGTGGAATAATTCCCTGTGCGTTAGTTAAATGAGCAAATCCCTGCTTCGGAAACTAATTCCCCGGTTATCCGTAATCCTCTAGATTTTACTTTTGTATCGTTCTAATATGTTAATGAACTAATTCCTCGTGCGTTAGTCTTGAAGATAATTTCCCGCCATTCGTAAACCTCTATTTGTATCGGTATAATAAAACAGTTAAAAATTTCCCTCGGCGCGGGATATAGTCCTGGTCTTGGGGAACTGGAAACTTGCTAACTTCCTCAATGATATACTTAAACTGTATGATAAGTGTTCATAGTTAATTATTTGTTTAAAATTCCATATATTCCCAAATTAATTTTTTACCTTTTTCTACCTGATTTTCAAAAAGTAAGAATATGTAGAATAGACCATCTGGGCTAGCAGGATAATTAAAAAAAAACAAAAAACGATATTTATATACATATCAAAGAATTATAGGAAAAACGACGTTGAGAGAAATAGAGTGACCACCCCTTTTTATGCTACATTTGTACTTCTTTCTAAGGAAATAACGCATAAACATATCTGTTTATATGATCATACCGGTATATCATTAATAATTACATGTATTTGAAATAATGGAAAATATGTCTTGAATGCCGCTTTGTGTTATAAAAAAAAAAAATCAAATTCCGTAGAGGCCAAACCCTCTTTACACATGTTGGAGGTCGGAAACTTTGTTAGGAATTCATAGACTATAAAGTCGTTTTTAAGTGTATTGCCAAAGCCTTTATTTATATGAAATGGAATAAGAACCCCTACCCATCCAACCAGTCCTCTATTATAATATTGATAAACATGTCTATCCTCATAAAACAAAGTTTTTACTAGTGTTTATATATCTAAGACAACGAAAGAGTAAACCGTGCTACTAGCAGCATTTTAAATGATCAGTTTAAATTACTTAAAACATTCCTTGACGATTACTATAGTATGAGGCATGTTTGAAGTAACGTAAAAAAGGTGTGATATATAAAATATGAATAACAATTTTTTTTTTAAATTTCAGGTTGAAATAAGATATGGCATCTAATGAAAGGAGCCAAGGTCAGCATTTTCTGGAGTGTGATGTTTGTAAAAAGCCAGGGTCCTTCTGCTGCAGAAGATGTGGAGTGAATCTTTGCGATCCATGTGTGCCAATGCATCTCCGTATCAAATCAGTGAACGGACATGACGTTGTGGACTACACAGATAAAGATGTCAACGAAACTTGTATTTGCGCTTCCCATCCACAACAGGAATGCTGTGCTTACTGTAACACATGTGACAGCCCAATATGTTTGGTTTGCGTTTCGATCAAACACAAATCGCATGAAATGTCTGAGTTGTCCGAAAAAATAGAAGAACTCCTGAAAGAAATTACGCGTGAAAATGAGCTACTTCAGTCATTCAAACTTGAACTTGAGAAAATCATTGATCATAGTACAAAACGATTGTCTTCTCTCTGTAGGGTTTATGAAAAAAGAAAGCAGGAAGTTAAAGCACGGGGAGAAAAATGGCATAAATACATAGAAGAAGTTGTGAAGCATTTACACCAGGAACTGGATGACATGCAAAAGGAGCACGAAACAGTGCTGCAGAGACAGAAAAATGAATTTGAAGAAATATTGCAGGAAATTGATAAAATGAATACGGAAACGACGACATTGCAAAAATCAAAAAACATCGAGAAAATGAAGAAATTTATACCAGTGATTAAAAAGCAAGAAACAGATAGAGATGTTGCAGAGTGGTCCCTTCCTGTCTTTTACCAATTTGAAACTGAGATGGATGTTTTCAAATCTTCTTTTGGCTACATTGAAAAAATGAGAAAAAACAAGGTTCCCCTGAAGGAATTAATTGCTGTAAGCACCGATGATGATATACAGAATCGCAAAATATTCAAATCACCAAAAGTTATCGCAACCATAGACACCGATTTTTCCGAAAACGAATATCATAATCGTCTACATGACATGGTTCCTACTAATGATAAAAAAATGTGGATCGTTGGAGTGAAAAATGAACTCAAGTTGTATGATCTCCAGGGAGTACTTTACAACACGATCCAATGTTCAGAAAAAGGAAGCATATACGTATCTATATACAACACAAAAGTAGTCTTCACAAGACCCACTGCACTGAAAACATTGTCCGAGGGTAACACAGAAGTTACGATGTTCGAAATTCCAAACTGGATTGCCCTCGGAATTATAAGTACCGCGTCAGATGATCTCCTGATCTCGCAATGCAGGGATGATCAGTACAAAATTGTGCGATATAGCGGCACTGGTACCATGCTGCAAGAACTCCAGTACGACTCACAGTCACAGCCTCTATATAATAAGATAAGTTATATTGCTGAGAATGTCAATGGGGACATCATGGCAAGTGATTGGGGAATGAAAGCTGTTATTGCTGTCAATAAATTAGGGATATTTCGTTTTTCTTACACAGAGAAGGAAAGTACGTTTTTTCCTAGTGGGCTCACAACCGATTCCGTCGGTCATATTTTCATTTGTAATCGTATTGGTGACAATATTCACATGCTAGACGGCGATGGACGATTCCTGAGATACATTATTCCCGATCAAGGCATTTCATATCCGTGTGTTGTATGTATTATCACTGATGGGGAATTGATTGTCGGGGAGGGTAAGAGCGGTAGGGTTAAAAGGATAACGTATATGGAACAATAAAAACAACCCAATCGGTGTTAAATTTCACTGGGAACGAACCATGTTCCTTTGGCCGACTGTCTGGCTTTCTCTTTTGAAAAAAAACGTTGTATCCATGCAGCATTAATAGATGTATGTTTTTTTATGATTGACTTCGGTTTTGCTCATAGTTAATTCCACATGATGCGTCCGGTGTAACGACGAAAAGTGACCCCCTTAGAATATAGACCAGGTGGTCATTTTCTGAAGGAAGAAAAATTACCCTAAGTCAATATTCTAAAAAGTAGGGTCATTTTTCGACCGTAGAAAACCCTTCGAGACCGGTACGTAATTGTACGACTCCACACAAGATGAAAAATGACTCGACCTGACATAGAAATTTGACCCTTCTTCTTTATGTAAAAAACCTTATGAAATGAGATATGATACGCATTAATTCCGGGGTCCAGGGGGGTCCGCGAAGGCCTACAGATATCTGTGTTTCAGGATATTTTTTATATTCTCAAATGTAAGGAAGGGGGGTGTACATGTATTTCACTCTATCCCAACATTTATTTGATTGATTGTATCAATCAATAAAATGTATGTTGGGGAAAAGAAAAGTACATTCCCCCTCCCTGATGTCACTTCTTACTAATAACATCCAATAAAAGTATCTGGTAAGTTTTTTTTGTGTTTTGTTGTTGTTGTTGTTCTTTTTTTTTTTGTTTGTTTGTTGTTTTTTTTTTTTTTTGCTTGCAGCCTGTCAATGAGTAAATGCTATATTATTTAACAAAATACCGATAAGGCTTCCAACAAAATGACTTAACTATCAACCAATTAGTGAAAATTGATAATACAATTTTATCTAAATTAGACAAAGGCAAAAATGTTAGATTTATCTTCTTTGATATTTTAAAGGCTTATGATAATGTTTGGAATAAAGGTCTACTTTTCAAATTAAAATCTTATGGTATTCAAGGCACATTATTGAAATGGACTGAAAATTATTTAGATGATAGATTTCAAAGCATGGGTTCTACCGTATTCATTTCAAACCTATATCGGCGGGTGTCAATTAGGGATATTTCGTTTTTCTTACACAGAGAAGGAAAGTACGTTTTTTCCTAGTGGGCTCACAACCGATTCCGTCGGTCATATTTTCATTTGTAATCGTATTGGTGACAATATTCACATGCTAGACGGCGATGGACGATTCCTGAGATACATTATTCCCGATCAAGGCATTTCATATCCGTGTGTTGTTTGTATTATCACTGATGGGGAATTGATTGTCGGGGAGGGTAAGAGCGGTAGGGTTAAAAGGATAACGTATATGGAACAATAAAAACAACCCAATCGGTGTTAAATTTCACTGGGAACGAACCATGTTCCTTTGGCCGACTGTCTGGCTTTCTCTTTTGAAAAAAAACGTTGTATCCATGCAGCATTAATAGATGTATGTTTTTTTATGATTGACTTCGGTTTTGCTCATAGTTAATTCCACATGATGCGTCCGGTGTAACGACGAAAAGTGACCCCCTTAGAATATAGACCAGGTGGTCATTTTCTGAAGGAAGAAAAATTACCCTAAGTCAATATTCTAAAAAGTAGGGTCATTTTTCGACCGTAGAAAACCCTTCGAGACCGGTACGTAATTGTACGACTCCACACAAGATGAAAAATGACTCGACCTGACATAGAAATTTGACCCTTCTTCTTTATGTAAAAAACCTTATGAAATGAGATATGATACGCATTAATTCCGGGGTCCAGGGGGGTCCGCGAAGGCCTACAGATATCTGTGTTTCAGGATATTTTTTATATTCTCAAATGTAAGGAAGGGGGGTGTACATGTATTTCACTCTATCCCAACATTTATTTGATTGATTGTATCAATCAATAAAATGTATGTTGGGGAAAAGAAAAGTACATTCCCCCTCCCTGATGTCACTTCTTACTAATAACATCCAATAAAAGTATCTGGTAAGTTTTTTTTGTGTTTTGTTGTTGTTGTTGTTCTTTTTTTTTGTTTGTTTGTTGTTTTTTTTTTTTTGCTTGCAGCCTGTCAATGAGTAAATGCTATATTATTTAACAAAATACCGATAAGGCTTCCAACAAAATGACTTAACTATCAACCAATTAGTGAAAATTGATAATACAATTTTATCTTAAATTAGACAAAGGCAAAAATGTTAGATTTATCTTCTTTGATATTTTAAAGGCTTATGATAATGTTTGGAATAAAGGTCTACTTTTCAAATTAAAATCTTATGGTATTCAAGGCACATTATTGAAATGGACTGAAAATTATTTAGATGATAGATTTCAAAGCATGGGTTCTACCGTATTCATTTCAAACCTATATCGGCGGGTGTCCTCAAGGTTCTGTTCTAGGTTGGCTATTTGCAGATGATACACCGCTGTTTACAGTTGATAATATCGATATAGTAGACAATGATGTTAATGCAGCTGCAATATCACTTACATCTGACTTAGATGAAATTAATAAATGGGCCTCAACATGGGCTGTGGATTTTAATCCAACCAAACCTGTAATTTAAATTTTACAAGAAGTTCAAATGACCACCCAAGTCCATTTTTGCATTAATGGTATAGTATTATTAGAGAATCTAGAACACACTGTAATCTTGGACTTCTTTTCCAAAGTGATGCCAAGTGGTCATCTCATATAAATAATTTACACGAAAATGCTTGTATTTGGCAAAATCTTTTAAGAATGCTGAAACATTTGCTAGATAGGAGTGCATTAATAAAAGTTTATTTTGCTTTTATTCGACTTTTGTTATAATATGGTAGCATTGGTTGGGATAATTGCTCACAATTGATCAATTGTTAAAGTCTGCACACACCACTGAGCACGGACTGAGATTATACTGTGAGCGTGTTTTCCTTTCGAACATTTTTACTTTGAATTCGATAGATTCTAGTTTTTGAAAATATTCTTCATTTATAGACAACAAAATTACCACTTCCTTAAATATCAAGAATAAAATAATAATCAAACACGACCAGAATTTCGAAGTTTCAGTAACTTAATTAAAAAATGAACATTTGGGGGAATGTTTTAAAAATCTTCTCAAGAATCACTGTGTCAGGAAAGATAAAACTTTAAGGGGAAACATCCTCAGATATGTAAATCTAAGTTTGTTGAAATCTAGACCCCGGGGTAGGGTGGGGTGACAATGGCCGATCAAAGTTTTACAGGAATATATAGAAAAAATCTTTTAAAATCTTCTCAAGAACAGCAAAGCCATGATTGGTCATACTTATATTGAAACATCCTCAGGTATTGTAGATTCAAGTTTGTTCAAATCATAGCCCCTTGGGTTAGGGTGAGGCCACAATGGCCGATTGATGCTACTGCCCATTTTGCTGATGATGAAAACAATAAAAAAAATTAACGTAGAAATATATAGGAAACATCTGTAAAATTCTTTTGAAGAACAACAAAAAAGCCAAGGTTGGTTATATTTATGTGAAAGCATGCTCAGGTAGTGTAGATTCAAATTTGTTCAAATCATGATCCCTGGGGGTAGAGTGGGGCCATAAGGAACGATTAATATTTGGGAGGTCAACATTATCGCTACATCGCCAAAAATTTCAACTCATTACCGCTATATTTTTTTCAAATTTTCGACCGATCATTACCGCTACATTTTTTTGGCCAAAAACAACTCATTACCGCTACATATTGAACCAACCGAAAACAACTCATTACCGCTACATATTGAACTAGCCAGGTATTGTACGGAATATTAGTTCCAATCAACAGAATTCCCTCAATATGTAGTGGACTTCAATTTCGATTTGAAATCTAAACAGAAGAATGTGAAGACGGTGAGTTTTATCTATGGGCAGTGCTTGATTTAATTTTAAAAATTTAAAAGTTTTTTAATGAAAAAGTATGTAATTCAAATAAAAAAATCAATTAAAAAAACCCATCCGACTCAAAGTCCTACTTTCACCTCCCCGTGGTGAGCAGAGGAAACAGGACTTATACTAGTATATGTTGTACTTTAAATCAATCTGTACACGCATAAGTTGATGGCTAACGAAAGAGGCAATGTAGGGTAATGTATACTTTTATATGTAGCGGTAATGTAACGTTTTTTGTAGCGGTAATGACTATGTAGCGGTAATGAAAATTTTGAAAATGTAGCGGTAATGATACGCACCCCAATATTTTACATAGGAGTATAGAGAAAAAATCTTTGAAAATCTTTTTCTCAAAAATAGCAAAGCCATAATTAAACATATTTGTATGTACGCATCCTTGGGTAGTGTAGATTCAAGTTTGTTCAAATCATAGCCCCCTCCCTTTTCTAAGGGTAGATAGGGGCCACTTATGGCTTTTAACTTTTCAATACTGAATTCTATTTTCCTCCTAGCCACAGTGCTCATGTGAGCGATATGGCCCATGGGTCTTTTGTTACTCAAGTACTACATTCCTTTTGGCAAGATCTTCCCTTATAGGTGCCAAAAGTTTTGATTTTGACCTTTTTTGAAAAATAATTTCATTTTGGCCATTTCTTTTGAGAAATTGGTGAAGGACTTTTGTACTTCACAGATGTATTCCTTGCGACAAGGCCTACCAACAATTTTGACCCTTTGACATTTGAGCTTGACCTGCTTTTGAAAAACTTATATATTGGTCATATTCTGAATGATTAATGCTAGAGCTTCAATATTTCGCAAGCATATCTTTTTTTATATTACCTTTGAATTACCTTGGGTAACACCAATTCTAAGCCTTTGACCCTAAGTTGGATTTGAAAAGCTTTGAAACCTTCGTCAAGACGTCTGAATGGTTAAGGTTAGGGCTTTTATATTTCACAGATCCATGTGACAAGACCATTCCTTGATCATCAATAGTTTTGACTTTTTGTCCTTGAATTTTAATTTGATCAAATGGGAAAAAATCTTGGCCAAACCTTATGAGTAGTTTTTGCTACAGCTACAATATTTCACGTGTGTATTTCTTGTGACAAGACTTTTCTTTGGGTACAATTTTTTTTTTA